AAGGTCTGGCTTTCTGAATCTTGGCACTGGTCTAAAAAGGGAACATCAAACAGTTATTTCGGGCCTATTGCAAGAGTATTAGAGTAACACTTAGAGAATAAGCAGGTCTGATTGAAATAAAACATTATAGGAGTTAGTATATTTTCTGACTTGAACAGAACACACTGAGCAAATGAATGTTTCCTCATCAAAAGAACCTTCATATTAGAAAACAAAGTTCCAGTGTGAGTTTTTGCTCCAGTTTAATATGTAGAAGGATAACGGGGGGGGGGGGGGGGGGGGGGCAGGTGCTGCTTGCTGCCATGGAAAAGCAGGGAGGGTTCAGTGAAAAAATTTTCATTGCAGCTTTGCAACGACGGTCTGGGCTTTGCTGAGGTCATTTGTTCTTGCTTTCTTATGCAGCAGCCTCTGATTGCCTAGCTACAAGGGGGTTGGGCTCTACAGTTTATTTCAATTTGCTGCTTCACCCACTTTTGTTTTAGATCTTGCCTGAAACTTGTTGCATTTAGTTCGCTCCTAGTAAAAGTACCTTTTCTCTGAGTCTATAGGGCCAAAGGTTTTTTCCCCCTAGGAAATGAACACAGGCAGCCTTGACATTAGGGATTAATGGTCAATTAACTATCAGCCCAGAAACAGCCATTAACCGTGGTGACTGAGCTGGAGGAAATTGGAGCTATGGCCAGCTTCCCCACTAGACCACACTGTGCTCGAGACAAGGCTTTCAACTGGTTGGAAAAATTGGGAAGTCTTCAAATTCAGGTTTTCCCAGATTTGCTAACACGGCTCTCTTAATAAATTGGAACTTTGAGGAATCCTTTGCCTTGGACTCTGATTTACTTTTGGATGCTATTTGGGACCCTGATACTGTACAGATCACTAATCTTCTAAAAACACCTGAGAAAAGCCGGTGCAAAACTGAAAAGCCACAAAAATTTACTGAGCAGATTGCTTGGAGTGCTGATCCTAACCTCCCATGGACAACAGCCTTGACTTTTATTCTACACCTGAATATTGTACACATATCCAAATATCCAACTCTGCAGACAATGCATATCATGTCTGTCACATGGTATCCTGTGTCCTGGTTGCCAGTACTTAGTAATATCATGCTGCCGCACATTACAAGACCACAAGCCCTCGTTCAGCTATGTTCAAGGCCCTCCCTATTCTCCAGGGCAATGCACAGTCCAATACAAGATTGAGATCCTGTAGGCCAGCATGGAAGACAGCTATTCACTTAACATCTCCCCAGTTTAACCCTGAGAATGCCTGGAGAAAGGAAGGGTCAAAGGTATCTTCCTGCAGCCCGATCATTAGCGATCCCTCTATCAAGCCACCAGGGTTTGACCTGCATCACTCTGGACGAAATTGAACAGAATTGGTGTGATACTGGAAGAAGTGCTGCTGCCCTGTGTCAGTGGGGATGGGAAGATTTCCCTTGTTGCGATTGTGGTGTTAATATGCAAACTATTATACACATTGTGCAAGATTGCCCACAACATGCATTCCCTGATTCTGTAACAGATCTAAAGGAAGCAACGCCCGAGGTGATGGACTGGATAGCTGACCCAGTTATGAGGCCACTGCCCTATCCCCATAGACGTTGTGTGTATAAATTATATGGGTTGTGTGTATATATTTACTCCTCTTCTGCCAGGCTTTTATCGTACACTAAATATTATTAATACATTTTAAAGAAAACTTTTAAATCAAGAGTAATTATAGAGGTACTTGTCACCAGTTATGAAAATGACAATATACACGCCGATGCCACAGCTAAAGCCTTCTCCTTATATATTGGCATCCAATGTCATAATGAAATGTGCAGTTTCTGTTTTGATGCACATG